GCTCTTCCGTTCAATCACATGCCAGCCACCTGTGAGGGGATTCTGTACTTGCGTTATACTCGGCCCCGAATTTTTTCCCCCACCTTTTTGTCATAATATTTGCCCTTTACCTTTTGCGGATCACGATCCTACACCTAAAAATAATGTACAAGAAAAATATTAGGATTTTTGGATCCCAACTGCACCGCCATACGGTTTTATCACAAGTCATAACTGTAGACAATGAAAAGCATAACATTTTACGAGGGTAACATACATCAGATGGAATTAGAGTAACGAGACAAGGAAGAACGATATGAATATGATACCCTCCAAATTAAACCTAAACTCACTCTGATAGGCTTAAAACTCGATACCATATATCAGCTATTAACTTAGTCAGGTGATCATACCCCATATCTCGGAGCAGAACTTTTTAATGCAGCGAATCTTCCATCATGATGAGATGAAGAAAGGAAAATAAGAGGGTGAGGTGAGAGTCAATTCATCTGAGTATACAAGACTGATTGACTGCATCCACAGACGCAAAATTCAAACGTGTTCCGACGAGACTTCCAAATTAATGTCAATAATGAGATGAAAGCTTTTTCAGATGCTAGTACACAGCCGAAAGTTTATGGTGGACAACCATTGCTTATATTAGCAAATTCGTTGCATTTGCAGCTTCATGTTGTTGACTGTTACAGGTCAAATCATTTTTCGATTATAATAATTTGTGTTAATTGGAAAGAAGCAGTAACGTGGAACGAATGCCATTATGTTTCACTTACCGGCAAGAAACATACTGAAACGGGTTAGTGTGAATTACTCTGGAAGCGTATCAAGCATGAAAAGTGGATTGTTCGAAAGTTGGAACTAATTGAACTCAATTCTTTTGTAGCAACGAGTTAGACTTAAAATTCCAAGAAACTCATCTGTTAAACAAAACAAGAGGTACACTTGTTTGTACTACGATAGTATGTAAGCACTTCCGAAAAGCACAATGGTTCTGAAAGGTATTTAAAAAATAACCAACTCAAACAAAAAATTGAAAATCGGTCTAAAAAACTGAAAACTGATGAAAAATTACAATTTAGCGGTTCATAAGTAATTGGAGTAAGGCT